CCGCCACGCCGACACCCTCCATAGCGGACACCTGGGACCGAGGAACATTTGGGGAGCTTGCCAATGTGAGTCGGGCTGTGAACAGCCAGCAAGGCCTGGGTGCGCCCCAATTGCCATCCGATCAGCTCCCACCAGAGCCGTCCCGCTGGCGTGCCGGGGCCCTCAGCGTGGGGAGAAGCCAGGGCCCTGGCGCGGGTGCTGCCTTATGGTCCGGCCTGAAACCGTGCCAGCAATCATCTCACGTACGAGCTGGCCCACTATCCTTGTTGCTTGGCCGCACGATGTCAAGCACAGGCAACCAGGCCAGGTATCCCTAAATGCATGCAACAAATCATAACAAATGCACACATGCACATGCATGCGCCCTCGAATGCAGTGGTCAAACCCACCGCAATGACATCACCCTGCGTGTAGGCCCTGGCCGGCTTTCCTGTGGTCCTGTTTGCGGCGTTCAGGGTGTCAGCCACGTACTTGCGGGCCACCATGTCCCAGGGAGCGCCCGACCAGAAGTACTGAGAGCTGATCTGCGAGGGTCGAGGAACGACCAGGGTTTATTAGGGGCGAGATGCCACGTCTCCCATTCGATGGGCGACGCGGCTTCGTTATGCAGGGTTGAAGCATTCCTGTCAAGGCATACGCGGCTGGGGTGACGCCGCTAGCTTTGCCATCACATATAGCGAGCAGCAGCAGCAGCAGCAGCAGCAGCAGCAACAGCAGGCCCGCTGTTGTGCTCGTGAGAAAATCTCCCACATGCTCACCTCCATGCATTCATTGTAGCTCCAGAGCTTCGGGGCGGCTGTGTGGAGAGATAATGAGGGGAGGACGCGGGAAGAAAGGGTTGTGCATTGGCGGGCTGCGGTGCAGCATGCAATGGTTGGTCTGCCAGGGAGCGGCCTGCTGTGTGACAGCAGACGCCTTCACGGCGGGCAGAATATGGATTATCCGGGTGCGGCAGTGGTGAGGGGCTGTGATGGCGACCCACACCTGTGGGGGAGAGCGCCGGGTACTTGGCCTGCGTTGCCGAGGCGAAGGGCGTTTTTATCAGCTTGGGGCCGGAAGTTGTACCAGAATTCCAACAGGGCAAGATGCTGTCAGTGGATTACGTAGGTGGTGATCCTCCACAACGACCAACGCTATATAGAAGGCCGTCGCACAAGTACATGCTTACAGACACACACATACACACACACACGGACACCCAGATACACCCGAAATCCATATCACGCCCGCCCACACCTTGGTCCCGTCTGCCATTGCGGCCCAAAATGCAGCCTCCTCAGCCAGCAGCCTCGCCGGCCGCGGCGGCACGGCCGGGCTCGCCAGGCCCTTGGCCGCCGCGGCGAGCAGCTCGTCTGACAGCGGCAGCCCGGCGGCCGCGGAGGCTCCCTGGAAGGAGCACTGGCCGAACAGAGCGGCTGACTGGGCGTTGTAGAGCTGGGCCGGGAAGGTGCACTGGTTGGGGGAGCCTGCTGAAGTCATCGCCCAGGACGCCTTGCGGCAGGCCCTTTTGCGGGGTCAGGGGGTTTGGGTGCGCAGAGGAAGGGCTGTTGTGGTGATCAGAATGTGTGTGTGTTTGTATGTGTGTATATTTGCACCTGTTTGTGTGAAGTGGGGGCTGCGCGGGGTTGGGGGCTTTTTCTTGCACCAAATGAAGCAAAGAGGTGGGTCAACAAACAGCAGCAGGGTGAGGGGGCTGCAAGGCTCGCTGCTGCAGGAGAGCACGAGTAGCGGTGGCAGGCTGCACCATGCCAACCCAATTGCTGGTGAGACAGGGTGCTGCCGTGCGGGGTGTGTTGTGCAGGAGCGCTCATGGGAGAGGGAGGGGGGCAACCTTTGTGCGCTTCAGGGATGCACGGCTGGTGGCGAGGCTGGCTACCACCCAGGCGGCCTCACCAATTCACTGCCAAGGGTGATACGCAGACGTCCCCAATCCTGTGGCAGTGGGGGAGCAACAAAGACAGCATCGGGCAAAAGCAGCCTGTTTGTGACGAGGTGAGGCAACCATCTGCCTGCAATCAATCGGGTGCGTGACTTGCCAAGATTTCCTGAATACGGGCCCGAGCAAGCAGGTGAACCTGGTTGTGCGTGGAGAAAGCCTCACATCCTCTGCCGCCACTGCAGTCCTCAGTTCATGTCTCCTCGGGTTCCCCCCTCCTACAGAGGTCAGAACCTGGAGACTACCCACCTGGCGACCTTGCCATTTGTGTCGGCGCTCCCCGCCTCGCAGCTGCCATTGTTGATGATCCCTCCCAGCTGGGGGCTCCAGCCGGAGGTGCCTGAGAAGGTGGCCTCCCTCACCAGGTGGCCGCAGCGCGTCAGCACCTCGTACACGCACATGGCCGCCGCGTCCTGCCCGATGCCTGGGGGAGGGGAGGGCGATGCAGGGAGATTTACTGCGGGGCATTGCGGGGCGTTGCGGTCGCGGGCGGATCAGGCAGTGGCAGGCGCAGACCCGCAGCCAGGGGTGAATGGGGCGTCGTGGCTCGCAGGGATGCTGGGGTGCGATCGTCCAGGAGCAAGCCCAGCTCGTGATCCTGAGAGCAGGGTGCAAGTCCCTGTACTTGCTTGAGGCATGGCTCTAGAAATGCGTTGCATGCTCTTGCTCCGTTCCCCTGTCCACCCCGCTCCTCCCGCGGCTCGTCCACACACGCGGGGACCGCCTGATGGTCAACTCTTTGACCACGCACCAGTGGTGATGACCGCAACACTCTGCCTCATGATCTCGCCGGTCCTGACGTCGGGGCAGCCGCTCTCCCCGGTTGTGAGCTTCTTGGCGCTTTTCAGGTTTTTGACGTACACCGCGTTCTCTGTTGTGAGTGGGGCATTGCATGCACACGCGCGCTTGGTTGCGAACGCAAGTGTGTGTATGTCAACAATGCAGGTGCGTGCGTGAGGGCGTGCGTGTGAGTGTGTGAGTATGTGTTTCAATTTTGTGTATTTGTGTGTCACTGTGAGTGTGTGTATGTGTGCGTATGTGACACACTCGCTGCGTGCACAAGTGTTTGAGCTCAGGTGCATCTCGTCAACGGAGGTGGCTGGCCATAAAAGGAAAGAGGCTGTACGTAGTAACGTTGAGACACACTGCGCCACGCGAGATGGCCAGGAAGGCCATGTATTGATCACCCATAGCAGCGGGCACCAGCAGCTTGCGCCGCACCCACCTGGCGCATTTGCAAATTTGCCGGGGTCTGCAACAAACAGCACTGTTCGGTTCGCGCCTCCCCAAGCCGGCCAGCATGCAGTGCTTGTACTTTGGATGTCGGCTGACTGCAGATTCCTGGGATGTCATTATGTAAGCAGTGGCGGGTGATGTGGATCGCGAAAAGGCGCCAGGCTCAATGGCTCGGCAGCTCGAGCTGCAAAAGCGGGCGACAGGCGGCACCTTGCGATGCGGCCTGCCGAAACCTTGCTGCCAGGAATGTGTAAACGCAAAGCTTCTGACAATGGACTAAGGAGCGGCAGCACAGCTGCAAGGGCCGCGAGCCGGCTCATCACGTCAGCAGATCTGCGATGACGCGGTGGTGACGATTGGATAGAAAGCTACAAACAAACAAGAAAAAGCAGCAATCCGGCAGGCGATGGGTGGAGATCACTGAAGGTGGTCGACCAACTGGCCCGGAGCTCGCGCACTAACCGCCGCCGGCGCCCCCTACAGTATGATGATACAGTACATAGGTCCATTGGTGCAGCCTCACATGCTGCGCAACCACAGAACCCACTCTTTATGCCGCGTTGATCGACTCAACATCAATCTCAGGTAACATGTGATACGAGTCCTTTCGGAACGCGTCCGGGCAGGAACACCCCTCTCGGTAATGAGCACTCCGTTGATTGCCGCACACTGGCCACTGCACGGTGCCTGTGAGACCGTGACGGCCAAATATGAATCCAGGGTAGTTGAATGTCATTTCATTTCAAAGTGAAAGGACATGGGTAGTAATGTTGTTGTGTGATGGCTGCATGGGGCGACTCTGCAGGCCGTCAGTTTGGGCTTGTATACCGTACACATCCAATTGGGGTCACTTGCTTTCCAATCCCGTACACGCCAAACACAAGGGAGCCACGAACAGCTTGATGATATCAATACTACTGGTTTATATACAGTATTACAGAACAGCAAGCACTGCTCGGCTCAGGGATGGGTGAGAGACGCAAGCATGGCAACTACTTTTGGCACCCGGCACTCACCGCGCGGGGCCGGCAAGGGATGCATGTCATCTTGCAAGCTCCTGGCTGGAGAGCTCCAGGTTTTCAGCGTGATTCACCATGAGGCCTTGCGAATGGACTGTGAACACACTGCGCGTCTCGGTGTCTCGCCCCTCCCTGGGGCCCGTGTACGCCAGGCCTTTCTTTGTGATGGGAACTTTGGCCTGTTTCAGGAACTCAATACCTGCTACTATTGTAGTACAATAATGAGGTTCATCTGCGGTCCTGAAACACTCGATTGACCTTCTCAAACACTAACAGGCTGTGCCAGGGGTGTGGGTCAAGCCCAGTCAACGCTGCCGATGTCTTTGCTGCGCCCACGACACCGGCGACCCGTGCAGCTCAAGAATCTTTGAAGCAGTTGTGGAGCCTCCCTCACCCTAACGTACGCGTGGGCATTGCTCTATAGTTGACTGTCGCCTTCCTTGGGCCATGTGGATCAGGTGCGGCAGGTTGCAGACGTGCCAGGTTCGGGCGAGGCCGCTGGTGGCCACGGCTTTCGCAGCAAAGAAGCAACCCGTACGTACCAAGGTTTGTCGAGCCTGACAGCTGGCATATGTTTATGCTGGGATGATTATGGATCGCACGTGACTGCGCTCGAATCTCAATTGCACGGTCAATGCGACCACAACTAAAAATTTGATCTCCTACGCATCAACATACATCCAAAACGCTTCACGCATTCGATCTGAAAGCCCGGGAGTGGATCACACCGCGCTGAGGGTCTCATTGTATCAAGATCTTTATTTTTGGTTAACTTAAGTCTTTCTATACTGCAATTGCAGCGTGATTGAGGGCACCCTATCTGCAAGCCCCAGTGCACCGGCGCATCGCACGGGCACAGTGACGGGCAGCGCGCGTAGCGCTGCGCGACCACGCAAGCGGCTCTGTTCGTGCAGCCTTTGCGCCTTGACCTCCCCAGCTCCGTGCAGTAAGCTAGGCTAGACGAAACTATCTGAGCAGGCAGTATCGACAGGATGCAGGGTGGCCAGATCTTTGTTTACGGCACCCTCATGGCCGACGAGGTGCTGAAGCTGCTGCTGAAGCGCGTGCCGCCCAGCAAGCCCGCCACATTGGCCGGCCACCGGCGCTACGCGATCAGGGGACAGGTGTTCCCCGCAATCGTGCCAGCGGAGCCGGAGGCGAGCGTTCGCGGCAAGGTGCGGCTGCGCTTGTCAGAAGGGTGGCCGGCACCATAAGTCGCACCCGCAAGAGGGCGGCCGCCTGCTTGCTGCCCGAGCTGCGCCAAGCAAGCTGCGCCAAGCAAGCTACCGCTTTGACATGCATTTACAGGGTCGTGCTGCATGCTGGCCTGCACCATGTCGCCACGTAGTCATGCGGCAGCTTGGCGTGAGCAGATCTTTTTTTGGCTAGTTACAGCACCATCGCCGAGCCGCCCTTGATATGCCCACGTCCCCATACTCCAACCATGCCGCATGTGAATTCAGGTCTTACTGCAGCTCACCAATAAGGAATTGGAGATCCTAGATGGTATGTGTTTTCCTGGATGCTTGCAGTATGGGGGTGCGGAAGGGGAGAGGAGCAGGGGTGCATGAGGGTGCCGGTGCCTTCGCCTGCACCTTCTACAGAGTTCAACCCCATACGACCCATGAGACCAACTGGCTCTTGTCTGAAAGCCCCTGCCACATGCCATCGTTCATCATAATGCCTCTGGCCTGCCCGCAAATCCAATCATGCTACTCAAGCGGGGTGTGGCGGTGTTGACACGTGGCAGCAGCGTGATGTTTCAAGGCAGGCGCAGGCCTACTGGCTTGATCGCGAAAATTGCCACTCGCCGCCGCTTTTCACCCACTTCCACTGCCAGTGTACGAATCCGAGGAGTACTTCCGGGCCAAGGTGGCACCTGCGTTCGACGACGGCACAACCGTCGATGCTGATGTGTACATCTGGAGGGACACGTACAGGTGTGTTTGTTTGTGAAAGGGAAGCTCTCGCCTGCTCACCCGAGTGCAGCTTAATTCAGCGTTGAGGGATTGATGTGCATGCTATTTGGGGAACAAGATGTGCTGCTCGGATGCCAGCGCCTGCGATAGCTTGTATATCAAAGTTTCTCCACGGCGCACCAGCCTCCCTGCTTGTCAGCGTGCTGGGGTGCCGCCCCGCACACCTGCTCGTCCGCGTGCTTACCTGCCTGCCTGCTGCCTGCCTGCCTGCCTGCCTGCCCGCCTGCCTATCCGCCTGCCCGCCTGCCTGCCTGCCTGCCTGCCTGCAGGCATCTGCTCAGCGGGGAGTGGAGCTATGATGCCTGGCGCACAAACCACTTTGCCGCCTGGATGCAACGCAGTGAGTGGCACTGTCTCAGGACCCCTCCTCACTGCCCTTACCTTGCCCCTTCGGCCTTGGCGCTGTCGCATGCTGCCGCATCCTGCTGCATTTGCAGGGACCAACTGCTGCCAGAGGGGTGGGATTACGAGCAGTTCCTCGGACGTGACCTGGAGTCATACCTCGAAATGACCACCGAATTCATGAAAGAGTACTTTGGCTCCGAGCCGCCCCCCGCGGCGTCCGTTGTCACCGAGTGACGCGGCGATGGAGTCGCCACCGACCCATGCGATGCTGGTAGTCCCCGTGCCTCACCCTCCACACCACCCTTCCCCCGCACGCCCGGCGGCAACGTCCAGTGGACCCGGCCGGCGGGCACCCCAGCGGGAGCCTCCAAGACGCCCCGCAGTCAGGCCAGGTGGCCGAGAGCGGTTGAATTATGGCGGCTGCGCTGGCAAGGGCTACAACCGCAGGCCGAGCGAGGGGTTGCCCCGTCAGCTCGACCATCGTGGCCGGCTCGATTGCATTTAGTTCATGTTTCTAGCAGTCAAGGCTCCAACACCCTTCTTTCCTACTATGGTACTGCCTCGCTTCGATGCATGCGCCTCAGTGTATCGGGTGACGCTGTCCATTGTGCTGTCTGCTGATGCACATTTCCAGAAGTGGCCCAGCCAACCCGGCTCGTGGTCTTCGCAGTCATTGATTGACTGGCTGCTGCCGACTTGTGGCCCAGACCCAGACAAGCACCCAGCAGGCACAACCGCATCACAGCTGCTTTGTCCCTGCTCTGCGCCCTGCTTCCCGTAAGCATGTAAATCAGGTGTTACGCCTCAGGTCCCATCTCGCAACCAGGAATTTTGTGGTGACCAACTGGGCTGTAGATGATGTCGCGGGCAGCGCGCGCAACCACTACTAAGTCAAGCAAGGGGATGCCCAGACCTGGGCCTGCAGCATGACTGTGGTCAACACCTCCACTCATCCACATACCGTGCGAGCTGCTGAATGAGCTGCCTTTACGACCATATTAATGACAATGGTATGATGCATATGCGCCCATTCAAGGTTAAGTAAAGCTGCCCATCGCAAACCTTGTGAATCCTGCTGTCCAGCAGCAAGGCACCGAGGGCTGGACGTGCCATAGCAAAATGTTGAGTTCATATGCGCAGCCTGGTACGCATTATACGCACATAATCACGTAACTTCAACGATCTGGCGGCCTGATTTTGTACGAGCTGCCAAAGGCCATGGCCGACGGCGTCATTGCAAATGGAGATTATGCAGTTGCGGATGAGAACGGGGAAAAGAAGAGCATCGTCCTCATCAGGGACAGCGGGTGAGCAATGCGTGCACCTGCCGCCGCCGCTGCTTCCTTGCCGATGCCGCCGCTGTTGCCAGGGCCCTCACGTGCACCGCGTGGCCCATGCTGCACAGGTCCCTGCGCGTGGGCAAGGTGCAAGTGAGCACCGCCCCCCTCGTGGGCGCTCCATGGGGCAGCATGTGGGAGCTGGTGGCGGGCAGCAACGAGCTGGAGCGGGTCACGCAGTAAGACGACTCTGCAGTTGTCTCTTCAGCCATGCGCATGCCTGCATGTCACAGTGTGAAAGGGCTGTAGAACACTGCGCAGTCTTCAGAATGAACTACACCTTTGGTGGTGCTTACAAGAAGAGCGTTGCGGCCCACCGAGCAGCCAGGTGTTTGCCCAGGCAACGGCGGCGGCAGCTACAGCGCTGCGCGCAGCATCGCGGCGCATCGACCCCGCCGCTTGGTGTATGATCCACTTACATGTTGGCTGCATCCCATGCGCCCCCAGGATGCCGAGCCAACTAGGCCCAAAGGTGGATGAGGTGGACAAGGACAACAGCCAGCTGGTGGACAGGTGGGGACGGGGTTTTGGGGACCAGTCAGGGTTCTGGCAGCAGGTGATGTTGCATCAGCCGCGCCAGGCGGCGGCGGCAGGGCACGCACGACGGCACTGCGGGGCCCCGCAGGAGCAGCCCGGCGAAGCCGCGGCCCTCGACTGATGCAGGCGCGCGTGCAGGGGGACGGCGGCAACCGCACAAGGGCGTCGCCTCACGCGGCGGACCGCGGTGCCCTCGCGTCGGCGCTGCGACAAACCTTGCTGGCTAAGCCCCCGTCTACTGCCGGGCCGACCTCTCAATATCCTGGATAGGAACGAGGACAACCAGGCCTTGAAGGCGGAGGACATCGAGGAGCTCAAGAGGCAGGGCAAGGTGGGGGCGGCGCGTCACACCACCAGCGGCGGCCGCAGCGGCAGACGCGGCGCGGGCGGAGGCCGGCTAGCGAGGAGGCCTGCGCCACTCGAACCCGCCGGTGCAGAGCGGCGGG